AAGACGGCCCAATTCCACAAAGTTTTTACTTATTTACCGCTTACTAAGTAGTAGTTGCTACTGCCAATATACATATAATTGTGTATATATATCCCGTTATGGGAATCCGTTTGACCTTCCATCACCGCTAAAGACGGCCCAATTCCACAAAGTTTTTACTTATTTACCGTTTACTAAGTAGTAATTGCTACTGCCAATATACATATAATTGTGTGTATATATATGTGTGTGTGTGTGTGTGTGTGGATATTAGGGGTGACAATTCATGTTTTTGGGTTGTGTTCGTGTTGTATCGATGTAAGAGTATTATACTAAATAGGTATATCCAAACCCAACATATTTAATAATCGTGTCAAAAATTATCAACACTAACCTAACCTGTTTATTAAACAGATAAACGTGTTAACCTGTTTAATGACTATTTATGAAAACGAAAAATTTAATATTTAATCAAATACTAAATAATAGAAAGAAAAAAAATTGTCATAATTAACCCAAATATTCAAAATAAAAAGAAAAATCATAAAGCATAAACAATGTTTATGTTAAAATGACTCAACTGTCCATAGTAATTAAGTTTAAACAGATAACATAATACATAGGTCATAGTCACGATTATAACATATTGAGTTAAATGGGTTATAAACGGGTTAGACAAGTTGAACACCTCAATCGTAACCCGACACAGTTAAGTAAAAGAGTTAATCGTGTCGACCCTTTTATGACCCAAACCCGTTTATGCCAAACCTAAACCCTTACCCTTTTAACTCGTGTAGTGTTGTTGTGTCATGTTGTAATTTGTCATCCCTAGATGAGACTCGTTACTATCCCTCTCATATAAATTGAATTAGGGGTTAGGGAGTGATTGAATTTCGCCCTTAAATCACTACTCAATCTATATATAATTATGAATGAAATCATTAATTGAAATTTAGAAGTTGATACTTGTTATTTTTGTTTTCTTAAATTTTATATTATTTTCTAATTAACACACAATATACTTTAAATTGCATTGAATTCCATTTTTTTTCTTAAAAATAATTACATAATACCACTATTGTATCGTGAAATATTCAAAATTGTCTAAAGAGGGGCAAAGCCAGAATTTGAAAATATGGAGGGCTAAAGAAAAAATTCAAGTAGAAAATTTACTGGGGAAAAAAAAAAAAAAAAAAGGTATAGAAGATGAAAACACCAAAAATAATACCACATCATGCCAAACAGTCCCTAGGTCTTCTTCAATCTTCTAGTTCTAATTTGTTTGTAGGCTTATTTTCTGGACTAGGGCATTTGTCATTTTATGTTTTTATTATGGCTTGGGCTGGGCTGGGTTGGGCTATGGCTAATAGGAAATAATAGTACTAATTATTATTTTATTTTTTTTAGACCTGGGCTATAGCCCAAGTTAGCCCACAGGGAGATCCGCCCATGCGTCTAAACGCATCATTACCTTCTCCAACTAAAAAATAAAATATTTAAATTTGAAAATACTTTTAGCTGTATCCGAATGTATCTAAACGGCGTGTCCGACCCGTATTCAAGTGTCGCCGCGACCCTAAAAGAATGATTCGTTCTTCCTAAGGGGCACCTATTGAGTACCTCATATCGAGAATATAATTAGGGATGGACTTATGTATAGGTTAGGGGCAATTGCCCCTCCCCCCAATTTGTTATATTACTAATATGCCTTACTAAATTATTCATTTTCAGTTATATATTCCAGCCTAAAATATTATTATTGACCCCTAAAATTACTAAAAAATATCATTCATGCCCCTCTCACTTAATGGTTGGATCCATCCCTGAATATGATACCACATTCCAATAAGGATTCTTGCCTATTATCAAGGAAATTTTGTTTTCTCATTAGTAGGGGTGGGTATATATTACATAACCTTACGTAGTGGTATTAAATATTTTTCCCTTCCAAGGGAGGTAATCTCTCCCGTTAACTTCATGGTCTTCAATTATGTGGTTCAGATTTAATAATGTCATCATCTTATTCAACTTTATTATTTATAAATTAACATAAATGATGTGGGGGAGGAATTGTTCCTAAGGGTGGCAATTCGGGTTCGTGGAATCACAAGTTATAATCGTGTCGTATTGAGTTAAAGATATTCTACTAAATAGTTCAATTCGAACACGATCCGTTTAATAATCGTATCAGTTTAATAATCGTATAAGGAACTCTCAATAGTAACCTGACGTGTTTATTAAACAAGTTACACTTGTAATCGGCTTGATGAACTATTTACAATATATATATATATATATATATATATATATATATATATATATATATTATTTTATTAACAATACTCAATAAAACCATAAATAATTAAAAAAATATAAATTTTAATCCAACCAAATTACTAAATAGTCACTAATTCACAAAAAGATTAAATTATTAGACACAATTTTATATAATAATAATATTGGAACTTAAATAGAAATTTATTTATGACATGTATAATTAAACGAATATACAAGAGTTGAACTTCTCATCTCAAACACGACGATTAACTAAACGAGTTAGTCGATCAGTTTACTACTCGAATCCGTTTAAGGTCAACTCAAACCCGTTTAATTCGTATCATATTAGTGTTGGCAAGTCTGTGTCAAAATTTGTCACCTTTTTGTTCCCCTCAACTTCTTGCTTGGACATAAATGAATCTAATCTGCATTATTGAAGATTACGAACTTCAAAAGAGATACTTGGATAAAGACTCATTTTCGAAAAAATAGCACTTTCTCTATTTGACCTTGCCCATATTCCGCAATGAAGACAGCTTCGAAATTGAGCTTTCGATTCTTTTAACATAAACAGTGTATATAATATCTATATATATATATATATATATATATATACATAGATATATTATATGTCAATTTGTAATATCAAACACAAAATATATATGTATATATATAAACGCGTGCGCAACCACTCATTTTGCTAAGTTGTGAGGCCACTTTTGCAAGTGGAAGCAAGTCGTACATGCGGCTTATATATCTCCTGCTTTGAGACCCGAATCCAATCAAAAGGATTTGTATTTGTTTCTTCATGTATGACAGTATAAGTGCTAAGTTTATATACAAGGCCATGAGAGGGACACTCTGACATTGACACATACATATATATGTGTGTGTGTGTATTCGCAAATGAGTTAATTGGATTGTGATAGATACAGTACTTTATGAAAGTTTCAATGCTGTCAATTAAGAATTTTAAGGTAAGGTATTAATGTAATTCAATGACTGTGGTTTGCATGAATCGTAAGGTAATGCCAGACCCAAACATTGGTTTTATAAATTAAGAAAATCATAACGGAATTATATCCCGTGCTTAGAATTTATTTTGGCATCATATATATTCCTAATTAAACTTTGAAATCACGAAGGTTTCTTAAAGAAGAATTTAGAGCTCTCCCAAACAAAGCCTTGGTCTATAAGATTCAATAACCTAGTAGTTTATTTGTTTGTGTAGTCAATTGACGACATTTTTTAAATTAATAGAGAAACCAAATTGCCATGTTGTAAATTTAAAGAAAGATTTTGACCACCCATGTCACACATAATGTATTTAGGTGTTTTATTTTTTTAAAAGAGTAATTTCTCTTTTAAATTTTTAGAAGGTCTATAAAGCAATAATTTTAGTTTCAAATTTTAAAGTACCAATTCTATACAGCCCAACACAGTTTAAGAATAATTTGAAAATTTTAACGAGTTGATTGTTTATATTAATTAGTTAAAATGCACCACCAAGAAGTTAAAAAAATGTGAAAAAATAACTAATCATATTAATAATAATCATGTTTGAGGTAATTCAGGTAAGTGAATATCTGATTTAAAATTTGACTCACTGAGCACATCCAGAGTCAGTAAACTCAATACAAGAAAAACTTTTAACAGAGCATTTTAAATTCAAAATGAAGAAGAGTTATTATTTGGTAATTCAATCAAGATTGACTGTCATAAAATTTAAAAACCATGGGCTAATTTTGGAACTACAGTTAATTATATTAACGTAATATGCTTTTTAAGATTTAGAGTAAAATAGTTAAACAGAGTAGATTTGTTTTTGAAATTTGCAAGTTTAGAAGAGAGAGAGACTATATTAGATTGACCATTCTCCCAGAATATAATAGCCGATGGAGTCAGAATTTTAATTCAGGAGCAGAGTGCAAAATATATATATACACAATAAATAATTATAAAATATAAAAGAAGAAGAAGAAGGAAATTATTCAAATATGTACATTAAAAACAAGAATTTTAAGAAGTAAAATAAAAAAAGGAAAGAAAAATTAAAGAATTTTAAAAGGAAAAATTAAAGTTCATCGAGGAAGGAATTTGAAGAGTAAAAAGACAAAATAAAAAAAAAGAAAGTTAAAAGAGATATTTTTAGAAAAGAAAAAACGTTAGGGAGTCACCATATAAAAATTTTCATATATATAAAAAAAAGTTAAAAATTATCACATATATTATAATTTAGTGGAGGTGCCCGTGGCCCAAAAAAAACGAGGGAGAGGAAAAAAGCTTAATTTCTGAAACTGCTATTGATGTAAATAGTAATCTGTTTGATATAGTAGAACAATAAATTAATGATTGGGATTGAGATATTTGTAGTTATAAACTTCTAAATATAGATTACTTTCAATTCTGAAAGAAACAACAAAATTTTTGTGAAAAGAGCATTTGTACATATATCTGTGTGTATATATATAATATATTATATACACTTGAATATACATACATATATATATATATCAATATATGTAATTAACTTTGCAAGAAACAACAAAATTTTTGTGAAAAGACCAGTTATATATATTTATATACACTTGAATATATGTGTAAGTAATACTACATTAAATTCCATGTGTCTGTATATGTGTGTGCATATATATATAATATTATTACTACATATATTATGTTTTTGGCTGGCGTGGGGTTAGTTAAACTCATACATGAGCTGGATCCACACTCAACGGGGAGACCCACTTTTAAATTATAAAAATATTAAGAAATTAAAATAAACCCACAACAAGTGCATCCAGAGAACACAAATCAACTTCTGAACATCTTCAAGCATTAGCACACAACCACGTCTTCATTCAATCTCATATACACACACTACAACAAGATTATTTTCTATAATTTTCCCTTCCACTTTCTCTCTCTCCTAATACGCTCTAGCAAATCTGGTTTTTTCTCTGAATTGATTGGATTGGGTCTTGGGTTATGTGAATGCAAAGCTCAGTCACATAGTTATGTGCATATATAGAGATATATATATGTGTATACTGTTTTCGGGTTGAAGTTTTGAATAATGAATCTGGGTGGTCACTCAGCGAAATCGATTTCGATGCCGAGTTCGAGTGTTTCGTGGAAATCTGGAGATGGGGTTTCCGACCAGTTTCCGGCTGGTCTCCGAGTGCTGGTTGTCGACGATGACCCCACTTGTCTCATGATCTTGGAGAAGATGCTTCGGAACTGCCTCTATGAAGGTATATAATATATATACATATATATGATTATATTCAGCCCTTGAATATTGAACTTTTGTGAAGAGTTGACTATTCAAGTGGTCTCAAGCTGTGTTCTTGTTTTGATTTTTGGGATTGAAATGTTTAATTTTTTCTGTTTTCCTCTTTAATTATACTGATTCATGATATGCGAAAATATGGGAGACCAATTCTTTTGTTCCTTTGTAGGATTAGGAATTTGTGTTAGATAAAGAAAATTGTAGAAAACCCATCTAGATTTGGGTACAATATCACATCATATATGCTTTGAGATTTGATATTGTTCAGATTTAGAAATGGGTTAAGTTGAAAATTACAGTAGATGTGACATAGCATCTTATGTTTGGAGTTTGGAATAATATTTAATAATTCCAAATTTGTTCAACTTGGTTTAGGGTCAATTTGAGGTTTTAAAGTTTTTTCATTAAGAAAAAATTATTTTGTAGCATTTGTGTATCCAAGAATAGACAGTTCATTTTTCCTTTTTCTGGTGGATATGTGTAGTCATGAGAGTAAAGGTGTTATAATCTCTGATTTATTTAGTAATTGTGTCTCTGATTTATTTAGTAATTGTGTAAAAAAATTGGAGTTTTCAGTTACCAAATGCAATCGAGCAGAGATTGCATTATCGCTACTACGGGAGAACAAAAATGGGTTTGATATTGTTATAAGCGATGTCCACATGCCTGACATGGATGGATTTAAACTCCTTGAGCGCATTGGGTTGGAGATGGACCTGCCTGTTATTAGTAAGTATAATGTTTCAATCATTTTAGATGTTGACCTTCATTAGAAAAGAAAATTAGTTTTCATTTATTTTAATTAGAATGAGATTTTGAGATCTGATTTTCGTAATTTTACAGTGATGTCGGCGGACGACAGTAAAAGTGTTGTGATGAAGGGTGTTACTCATGGCGCATGTGATTATCTGATCAAACCGGTTCGCATTGAAGCTTTGAAGAACATATGGCAGCATGTGGTTCGGAAGAGGAAGCATGAGTGGAAGGATTTTGAGCAATCAAGTGTTGAAGAAGGAGAACGGCAACCAAAGCCGTCTGAAGATGCTGATTACTCGTCCTCGGCAAATGAAGGGAGTTGGAGAAACTCGAAGAGGAGGAAGGATGAGGAAGATGATGTGGAGGAGAGGGATGACACATCTACATTAAAGAAGCCGCGAGTGGTTTGGTCAGTTGAGCTGCATCAACAGTTTGTGGGAGCTGTCAATCAACTTGGCATCGATAGTATGAATCTTTTGCCTATTTCTTTCTATTTTTTTCATCTGTTTCTTATTTGTACTTTATTTTGCCACTTTGTGCTGTTTCCGCAATATAAACATGCATTACTGGTGCTGTTCGATTGATAAGAACTAACGATGTTACTGTAGGTTGTGGATACTCATTTATGTAATTTTTCTAATGCCTTGAATCCTCTGCTGTATCTATATGCCTTTTCTCATTTTTTATTGGGAAACAAAATAATTGAAGAAAAGACATAATTGCAAGATAGAGAGTGGTATACTCAAAAGGGATAAAGAGTTCCCTGGAAACTTCTTTAGAGCCAGAGCACTTTGTTTAGCTAGAGAATTTGTATCACAATGTTATGACCTTGGCTATAACCTGAATGGAACTTCATTGAATATTAAGTATCGAAAGATCTGATGAAATCCATGGATGTCAACTATCATCTGTTATCTATTCTATAGTTATTGAACTATCTTCTTCAACATCTATGTTGTGGAATCTTGCTCTTGTAGCTTCTCTCAAATGTATTGAATAGCAATTGATTCCTTGGTCAAACACATTTTTAATGTGGGAACATGGGAATGTTAACCCAAAATTACTACTATCACAATCACAATTTGTCATCTAGTTCTGTACCATGGTAAAGGTTCATGCCTATGGTTATTGTCAAGGACAACCACTCCATGTCAACACGGTAGAATGTAGGTCTCAAACCTGTCAACTGCAAATAACTTGTAGATTAGCTTGGATTTATAGCAGAATTCTTTCATGAATCACATCCTCTGTTTGGCTGTAAAATTATGCACTAACTACTGGTTCATAATTGATTTTTTTGTTTTTGTTTTTCCAAGCTAAACCATAAATTTAATTATTTATGGGTAGATCTGAATATAAAATGAAAGTAATATAGGTCATTTGCAAGTCTTGGTCCCCTCACATGTGCCATGTGGTGCCATTAATGTATATTTCCTATACTTTGTTCTACATTTCCTCATATTTTCAAGTCTGATCTATGAATACAGAGGCTGTTCCTAAGAGAATTCTGGAGTTAATGAATGTTCCTGGGCTCACTAGAGAAAATGTTGCTAGCCACCTTCAGGTATGGTGTTACTTTTCTTGTTGAAGGACATTTCATGAAGAAAACCTTGATTGATAGAAAGAAAAAAAAAATCATTTGTGACACATTTAAGTCCATTGTGACTTGTATTTGCTACATAGCGGTACATGTTAGTACCTAGGAGTACTCATAACTGCAGCTATCTGGTGCAGAAATATCGCCTATATCTTAGAAGGCTAAGTGGAGTATCACAACACCAGACTGGACTTAATAACTCCTTCATGGGAGGCCCAGAAGCATCCTTTGGGTCAATATCTTCACTCAATGGGCTTGATCTTCAAGCTCTTGCAGCCACTGGCCAACTTCCAGCCCAAAGTCTTGCCACACTCCAAGCAGCAGCACTCGGTAGGTCCAACAAATCTGGCATTTCCATGCCTCTTGTTGATCAAAGGAACCTTTTTAGCTTTGAAACTCCAAAGTTAAGATTTGGAGAGGGACAGCATCAACAATTGAGCAATAACACCAAGCAAATTAACTTGCTTCATGGAATCCCAACAACCATGGAGCCAAAGCAGCTTGCCAATTTGCACCAATCGGCACAGTCCTTCAGGGGCATGAACATGCAAGTCAATGCCCATGGAAGCCAGAGTAGTTCTTTACTGGTGCATATCGCTCCATCACAGTCAAGGGTGCAAGTAATGAATGAAACTAACGGAAGTCAGGTTTCGAGGATTCCATCATCCATAGCGCAACCTATTATGTCAAATGGGATAGCCACTGGGGTTTTGGCAAGAAATGGAATAGTTAACAATGTCAGAGGGGCACTATACAATTCAGTTCCCCACACCACATCAATGGTAGATTTCTCAGTGGACCAAAACACAGAATTGCCAGGCAATACTTTTCCTCTTGGGAATGATTCAGGGATGATTTCCAGTCTCACATCTAAAGGGGTGCTCCAAGAAGAGGTTGACTCAGAAATGAAAGGATCAAGAGGATTTGTTCCAAGCTATGATATATTTAGTGAGCTGAATCAACATAAATCCCAAGATTGGGAGTCAGAGAATGTTGGCTTGATCTTTGACCCATCCCAACATGCAAATATACAAGGGAGTCTCGATGTACCACCATCAATTTTGGTTCACCAAAACTTTTCATCTGGTCAAAACAGTGAACAGAATAGGAATGCATCTCTTGGCAAAGCAATGTTCTCAGCTGGGGAAGCCACTGGCCACGGGAATGCCTCGCATATTGCGCAGCAACTTAACACATTTCTCAATGATCATTCAGTAAGGGTTAAGGCTGAACGACTTCCTGATGCTGGCTGTCAGAATACCTTATATCATGAACAGTTTGGTCAGGATGACCTAATGAGTGCACTTCTCAAGCAGGTCGATTTCCTGGCTTTCTATCCTTTCTGTATTTTGCTTATTGAAATCTGCATATAGATTCTGAATTTAGTAGATAAATGTGTGCATTAATTTTATCATCTCAAATTCATACTGTTATCTTGCAGCAAGAAGGCATTGGACCGGTTGAAAATGACTTTGGGTTTGATGGGTATCCCTTGGATAATCTTCCTGTGTAGCACATGCTTCACGCTCCAGCTCTTTTTACGTCTGGCAGTTTCTATTGTACATAGCTGGTATCAGAGATGAGTTTAACTTATTTCTTCTGCAATCGAAGGGTGAAGATTCAGTTTCATTATTCATGTCTACTTGACACAGGATCTCAATTTCACTTTGCTGCATTTTCCGGTTGTGATAGCTTGTTGTGCTTGTTCAATTTGGAGTTTAAAGATGGAACAGATCGTTCAATTCGGACAGATCAATTATGGTGGAAGTTGGGGCAGAAACGTGTAAGAAACAGCAGCATGATATGCAAAGGCGTACATGCGAAGTTTTGGTCTGCTTTTCGTAGGTGAATCTAGCAAGAAACATAATTTAGGTGTACTTGTGAGGCTGTGTGTAGGTATTGGGCTTAAGACTAAGAGTTCCAAAGAAAAGCTTCTGACTTATCTTTGAACTTGTAGGAGTTTTTCTAACTCTGAATAACGGGGGTTGTTTTTCTAGGAACTGAAAGTAATGTACAGATTATTTGATTGCTCAGGACACAAAGTCTTGGTATTCTTTTTAGCTTCTGTATTTAAAAGATTAAAGTTCTTATTCATGCTTTAAATTTTGCTGACAATCACTGTAATGTTCTCAATCCTGCTTTATATGCTTCATGTATATTGACCATAGTAGTTTGTAATGTTTAATAAGCTTGACTACTACTCTCTTAATTCAAATGTCAGGCAGCATGTTATACGAGTAGCTTGGAAGCACGAATATGGACATGGCTACAATACGACAACCCTAAAAAAAAATATCACCGGAATATATTTGATATATTCTTATCCTACTCCCGTATAGGGAGACATATTTGCATTACAATTTTAAATGAAATGTAATTTTAATCCTAATTTTACAAATAAATAATTATTACTTTTTAAATAACACAATTGTCTTTTTAGATCTTCTTTCCTCATCTCTAATCTTTAATATTTTAGCTCTCTTTTGTCAAGATCCAAAAAAACGGTAGGAAAAGAAGAGGATTAAAAATATATATATTTTTTAAAACAAAAGTTATTTTTATGGAATAAATTATTTCTTTTTTAAGGACCCATAAAAAAATTACCAAAAAAAAAAATTACCTCTTTTGACAAGACTGAAAAAAAGTTAACTTTGTTGAATAAATATTTCTTTCGATTATATATATAAAAAAAAGTCATTATGGAATAAACTATCTCTTCTAACTGCCAAAGATAAAATTATTAGTATGGAATAAATTATTTCTTTGAAGGGACCTCAAACAAAAAGAAAGAAGGTAAAAAAAAGTTAAAGTTGTATAAAAGGTAATTATGATATTATAAATTAAGAAATGATGCATTATTAAATTTCTTGTCATTTCTTTTAAAAGAAAAAGGTAAAGAGATTTCCATTGAAAAAAAAAATGGAGTGCAAATATAGCCTCCCTATATGTGTTATTTTATCCCTGTAATCATAAATGAAGTAAAAAACATGGAGCTTAGAGTTACATGTTTGTAATTTTTGTTTTCTAAAATTTTACAGTTTTTTTTTCTTCTAATTAACTCATTATATATTTTTAACATGCATTAAATCTCATTCTTTTTAAGAAAATAATTATAAAAGTACCCGGCTGTGTTTGGAAAAACAGAGAAGCTAAAACATTAATGCATATCATCATCATCACATCATACACCCAAGGGAAACAAATGAAAAATACTACTACAAAGAATCAATCATAGAAAAACCTGTTTTAATGCTGTGTACACAATAACAAAGTATGTACCATTTCCACATATTAGCTGTAACAATGTAAGTCTGATATCAAGCTTACCCTTTAACCAAAAAAAAAAATATAAGTCTGATATTACTCAGGAATCTCAGAGCAATGTGATCCACCACTCAAGTATAAGAACTTTCTGCACTATAATCTGGTAGTCGAACCGCCTAAGCACCCAACAGAGAGAGCATTTGTCCAACAAATCACCGAAAGAATGAAAAAACGCGGAATATGCTACAAACAAGCAGTCATACCTCATCCCATGGCTAGCTATTGCTGCAATAACATGAATACTAACACAGCTAGGAGTAATGAAATTATTATGGTTGAGCCCTTCCTATGAGTATTGCTAGTTGGACGTACTGTTGGAAGTGAGCATTCCTCCCCATTGAAATATACTTTAGTAGGAAACCCATCCCCACCAGCCACATCAATTGCAGGGATATTTTTCTTTGTAAAAGAGATCACTGACTGTTGTTTTCCAGGCACCCTAGGATCCTTCTGTGGGTTAGCACCACCTGATTCTGCCACGAGATAGTTCAAACCTTCAAGGCCCTGCATGAATATTGTATTGTTGACGTCATTCAAGGCGCTTCCATTGAATGAGTACACCTTTTCAAATCCAGGAGCCGCTTTATCCAATTGTACTGCAGCAAACCAGTCAACAAATGCGGTGTCATCCCAATTGAAAATCGTGATCCTTGCAGTCCACCCGCCACTGTGATCTGTATACAAATGCCAATTGAGGCTGACACCACAGTTATCTCCGCAGGGCAATGGATCTGGCTTTGTGAAATGTTTAAGATCTGCCCAAGCTACAGCCAAGTTAGTTCGATTCTCAAAAGGAAGAAGAATAGCCTGAGATGGAAGAAGAAGAGCTGGGGCAGTAGTGCTACAAGTACGACCGGTGTTACTAGGGCACCCACAAGCACAGGTCTTGCATGGAATGACAGACTCATTATAAAATGCAGAAAAGGAGACACAGCATCTGGGGCTTGCTCCCTTAGGCTGTGTGATGTTGCACACCACTTGCCAGCTTGCGATTGCAGTTGAATCTGATGGTAACCCACTTGGGTCCGGGAATTGGCTAGGGCTCACCCGCACTGGAGGTCCGCATTTATAATCTGGATTTAGCCGGCCACTGATGTTCCAGTTCTGTGGTGGGCTGAGCTGGGAACGGTTGAGATCTGGTTCCATTTTGAAGACATTAAGTTGGAAAACAGAAGTCGACTTACTTGGATCCATCAATGGGGGCAAGATTGTACCATTTCGGCAACAAAAAGGTATCATTCCAAGATTTGTGTCATTGGCCTTTGTCAGCGGCAGGTCAATTATGGTTGGCCTTTTTTCACAACTCAATACATTGGTAAAGTCCATGTCCTTGTAGTACTGACCTTGCCGGCCAAATACACAATCAGATGAATCAACAACTGTCGGATAGGCCCCTTTCATGGCAAATATAAACTCATCCCTCATCCAGTCCCAGCTTAATCTCCAATTATCAAGACGGCCAAGAGGATTGTGATTTGAGATTGTAACCTGTGCCCAATAATTCGTGTCATACGTTCTGATAACATCATACATTATTGTAAGATCACCATCTTGACGGGGCAAAAATTCGTCATCCGTGGTGATGTTTGATTTAAAGTTCGAATCTCTGGTACAGCAAACATGCATTTCACTTTTCCCTATGAATCAATAAGCAACCACACAACATCAGTGTGACCACAAGACATCAAATTCAAATCCCAAAAAAAAAAAAAAAAATTATATATTATATTCTCCTAAACAAGAAGCCTGCTGAGAAAAATTGCTCCAACCAGATTTATTTATTTATTTTGTGGTAAATCAGAAAGGAACAAGAGAGAGATGTCAAATAAAATAAAAAGTATACCTCCACATTCTGATTCCACCTCATTTCCAAAATAGTTGGGGGAAAAAAAAAGTGTTTTTGGGACACAATATTAATTACAAACAAATGAATTCAAAGACCAACAGCATCCAAATATAAGCCTCGTAATACTCCTGAAAATTGTATCATTGAATTTGGAATGGCAGCTTCATGCCTGAGCTGAATTGAGAGTAATCAGGTCTTGGTGCATCATTATGCTAACATTTCATATATTCCCAAACACATAGATATATTTATGTCATGCTTTTCTGGTACCTTTGTGTCCATGTATATATTTTATAGATGAACACTATATTTCTTCATTAAGCTACATAAAATTATATGGTTATGTGTTTAATTGGAAAGCATCAACCTAGTGCATACAATCAAAGAGTTACCATGTCTGACCAATGGTCTACCAGGCAAACCATATCTCTTAAGGGTTCAAGTCTCCAAATTCTGCTACTTTCCTGAGGTAAAAAAAAAAACCATGGTGCTAAAAGGTACAAACTTTATTTCCCCTTGATGATGCTAGAATGTCCCTATTCTATTTTGAATCAACCAGTATATACATCACTTGAAAAGCATCTAATTTAGGTAACTCAAAAGAAGTCAAAACTAACATGGCTGGTTCCCAATCCATTGTCTCAGCCAACTTACCTATCCGTTTGGGTTTAACAGGTGCCTATCACATCTTTCAAGGTAAAAATATTTCTAAGGCACAAAGGAACCATTGAGTTTCAAGAACTCTAAGACTAGGAGATTTGAACTCTAAATGTACAAGCAGTATATATATATATATAAAAGAAAAAAAAAAGAAAAGAAAAAAAGAAGAAGATGAAATAACCAAAAGAATAATTATGTTGCAATTACTTAGAAACTTCCATAACATTTTAGGTAGTTATAGACCACATATTTAACTTGTCAGCACGACAATTCCTTTAACGAACAATAATTATCTGACTTCCTTTTCATTTTGTTTGCAATATTTTGCCACACATAATAGCAATTACCAAATTATATTATATTGAAGTTGACTGATAAACTTTTGTACAAGAAAATAGTCAAAAGGTTGATGTTTTAGCTTCAATAAGAACAAAACCCATTAAGACATGCTTGCAGTCAATTGTCAGAACTCAGAAGGGAGGAAAAGATAAGCAGAAGAACATCCAACAAGGTGAAATCTATGCTGAGTCAGACGAGTGCTTAGAAGTGCTACAATAATTAATATAAGCTAGATCAGGCAAAACTTGTAGTTCACACGTTGAAGGTAGTGATTTTCTAGTTCAAGGTCCCTGAACTAAGTATCAATATCATATTATTCTCTTTTTTTTTTTTTCTTTTTTTTGTACAGAAATATCTAACACCGCAAAGGTTGTAGCAATGAGAATACTAACAAAAGTGAACAGGTTAACATGCTTCTCTACTAGATAAGAATGACAATATGCAAAAGAGTTTTGACGGTTTTTTCGGAAAAAGAAAATGTATGTTTTGCAGAAATGGTGGCATGTTACACATGTACATAAAATTATGCTTATAAAAAATCTGCTAATTGCTATTTCTCAAAAAAATTGTTCTAAATTTCACACATTTTGAGTGTATTAAAACTCTATGGTGAAAATATCTATATATTTCTGCTATATGCTTTCAATCTTTATATAACCTTATAGTTTGTTTCTCTCCATTTCAATTCAATTGTATATTACAGGGATGTTAGATTGGAATATCATAATTAGTAATTTTGTCTTCAAAACACAACAAGCACATGCCATCAATACTATAACTAAATTTCCTAAAGTTCCCAACTTTTTCAAACTATTAAACCCATTAAATAATAATGTCATCATCACACAGAACCGTCCAGATACAGAGAGCATAATATAATAACATCAATTTAAAGCCATTCCAAGATCTATAGCGCACACATGATAATTAAAGAAAAAATAAAAAATGGGGAAAAAGAGAGAGATGAAATTAAATAAAACAAAACCCAGAAAAGCAGTTTCTCAAAGCTTCATTTTTATGTCACAAAACCCAATTTTTCATTTGCTTTGTTACAATTTCTCAATAACCAAAAAGAAAATAAGCTAAACCTTATCTAAAATAATTAGAAAAAAGAAAATGGCTTTGCACAGAGAAATCAATCCAAACCCATCAACTTATCAACAGAAACCATCTACAGCACATATATACACACACATACATGTAAATATATAGACATGAATAAAATCAGCAAAATTAATTTGGGAAATACCTTGCATAGAGGGTTTAGGGCAAATAAAGCCATCATTGGCAAGCGATATATTGGTGGGCATTGGGACATTTGGGGACCCGATTCCAAACTGGGTACCCACCAAATCGATCTGGACCGACATCTGGGTCACATCACCGGCGGTCTCGACGGCAGTCTTGAGATCAGTGGCCGGGTAGCCAGCAAAAACGGTGCCGTTCCCAACATTAGCCGGAAGGCTAGTCCCGTCGGCGAGCACAGCATTGGAAGCGGACACCAAGTACTCGTTGTGCTGGAAACCAACAAAAACCGTCCAAGACTTGAGCTCTTCGAGGCCGTTGTTGAGTATGGTAACTGTGGATTCGAACCGGTAGGGCTGGTGGGTCGCATCGGACTTGAGAGTCGGAGGGATCTTTATTCCGGTAGTGTAGGCGTAGGATAAGAATATTTCGTTACAGGCATCGGAGGCCGGTGCTGGGGCAGGAGGGGTTTGGGCAGAGATGGTGGAGCAGATGGCGGCGATGATGAGGGTCAAGATGAAGAGACAGGGAGCCATGTTATTTGGATTTCAAACTGGAGAGAGAAAGATTTGTTTGTGAATATATAGATATAGAGAGAGAGGGAGAGTATATTTTGAGTACTATATTAGACTAGTTCTAGTGAGAGAGAGAAGTTGAAAAAGGTTAGCGGAAACGCGGTGAGGAAATAATCGACAGCTTGGTTGAAGCTGTATGCTTATGTTGGCGCTTTGAGTGGCTTACTCGTTCTGTTTTTTTTTTTCGTTTTTTTTTTTTTTTTAATTTTAAATTTAAATAATTGATTGTGCGTACAACTATACAGTAGGAGTGCATTATAATATATATATATATGCGAAATGGCCGTTGGTGGGTGAGAAGATTGTTGTTTTCACACCATCTGGAAATTTGAATAAAGAGTGTGGGGGAATGTACAATTTGTCAAGGTCTCAATAAATCATATTACAAAATCAAATATTAATTCCTAACATTACACTAGTAATATTTAGCTTCATTTAATTCATTTTATCTACCTAATGCATTCAAGTGAGATTCATAAGAGTCAAATGTATCATTTTCATGCTCTTAACATAAATTTCAAAACAATTCCACTACTTTATATAATCTGATAAGCTATCAATAAATTGAGAGAAATCACAAGAAAAGTGATGGGATGCTCCAACATTACTTGAGCCATCACAGATAAAATTGGCTCCATTTTCGGTCATTTTATTTGCGTAGTGCATTAAAGTGAGATTCATATTAGTCAAATGTATCATTTTCGTGCTTTTAATGCAAACAAAGTTTTAATTCTACAAGACTTTGAACTGGGCTTCTATATAATTTGTTAATAGTTTGCTTTTACATTATATATATTATAGTTCGTCGTTTTGTTCGACACGTAACATTTTTTCAAGTTCGATATACGATTCGTATCAACTAGTGAATACTGATTTTGTCCGAATCTGTTACGAAGTTGTGAGAATTAATTGAATTATATTACATAATTTCTAATTGAGACTTATCCAATAATGGATCTTTCGTGAGCTTTTATCATATCTTTTTATTCTCTAATGTGAATCAATCTTCTTCTTCTTCTTCTTTTTTCTTTCTTCAAGAATAAAGTATACTTTGGTAATTTTTTTACAATGAATTACAGCAGCCACCTCCAAGTTAACCTAAATAACTCTTCACTCATGTATGTTTTTCAAAATTTTCTACATAAACCATTCTATGTAAAAGCAGCTAGAATTTTCCTGCCTTTCCTCCTTATCTTTCCATTTATTTTCTAAATTTTTATTAGGGTCAAGTACAAAAAATATTACTAAAGAATGTTGTATGCTTACCGTGCATACCATGCCCTTCACATACAAAAAATACCCTTAAAGTTTCAATTTGATGCAAATCCTTTTTTTTTTTTTTTAAGTTGACTTTAAATTAATTACATCAGCCACCTCCAAGTTGACTTAAATAACACATCACTCATATATGTTTTTTGAAAAATTCTACGCGAACCATTCTATATAAAATATACACATTGAAATTCAAAAGAAAATTTTAATATATATTAGTCCAAAATAATATATGGAACCAAGTCAAAAGACTCAAAACCAGACAACCTTAGCTAGGTACATGGATTTCGTACTTTTTTTCGGAAAATTACATGGATTTCATACTTGCTATAGGTAAGAAAATGTGTTACGCAACAACAGCAATGGGAACACAAAACTCGTGGCCTCACTGTCACGCACTTGTGTACACGTAGGAAACATCAATTGAGATTATGCCGTATAAAATATTTTTTATATCTTTATTTAATTTAATAATGACTTAATAAAAAAACTTGTCAAAAAAAAAAAAAATTCTAATAACCTTTTTTTTACCCTTTTTGTAAACACTGTATTACAATACCTTTTTTTAAAAAAAAAATTAAAAATGAAAAATAAACCTAATCAAATATCATTAACAAAACAAAACAAAAAAAAAAAAGTATTTTTTCAAAATATAATAATATGAAATTGGTATGAAAATTGATTGTTTGCATTTCAATGGCATTTCATGGCATTTTTGTCATTTCATATCAATATAAGGTTATTGAGGTCTTTTAACATAAGGAAATGACTATTTAGTCATTTTTTGAATTTTCATTAATGACAAGGACTTTCACGTGTCTAGAAAATTTATAATATTTCGGGAGTATCGTACCTCCACCGTTGGATCATTCATCAGGTGGATCCCACCACCAAATCCAATGGATGGGAACCTCGGGGTACGGTACCCCGAGTATTGTAAACTTTCACGCATTGTTGAGCACAAGCGCCAAACCTCACGGAGGGTTAAAATAATAAAGACCAAGCACTCTACCTATATGTAATTTGTCCAAACCCTACGGGAAGTTAGTGTAATTTACCTTTTAAATATTAAACTTTTTTTGAAAGTTAAAGTAATTGACGCACATATGGAGCTTTTATTGAGATTCGAACCCTTAACTTCTCATTTGGAGAAAAAGGGTGGTACCACACCCACGTTGAATGTTAAAGTGATAGTGATGGACCTAATTGCACCCACGTTGGGCTGCCGAGTCTCTTGCTAATGTTTAAGTTATTAAAATAAAATTCACAGCAGACAATATAATACATTAATCTTTTACTCAAAAATGTTTTAAATTAATATCAGAAAGGGATTAATCCTTTTCCTTTGTAGGATTTTTAACAATGAACAAAAAAATAATAATAAAAAAAAAATAATTGTCAAAATACTAAAAAGGTGCAATAAATGCATTTAATGAAGTTGATTCTTTTGCAAATCTAATTAAATGAATCCATTAGTTGGTAAATGATAAATTAAAGGACAGAAACGCTCCCACCTCTCTTTACCTCTCTCTCAACCAGTAGTCCTCATCATCTTCCTTCTGTGCTCCCTGTTCCCTTTCATGGGAGTAGGGAGTTGTTAGTTGCCGTCCACGATTATAATAAACTCGACGTATTTGAATAAGTGGGCTCTGTGGATGTTTTTTTACGCTGTTTTTGCTTTTGTTCGGCTAGATCTGCTCTTGTTTGTTTTGTTTTCGGCTCACATGGGCAGATATGTTGCTTCTCTCACGTTAAATCTCTGATCTAGGCCGGTTTTGGGTTTTTTCCCGCTTAGATTTGATCATTTTCTCCTTGATTGGATCTTGTGCGGGGTTTTGTGTGTCGGAGCGCCTTGTGGTTATAGTTTTGGAACGGTTGTCGTGCTGATGTATAGACCTTTCAGTTTCTCCAGTTTGTTGCTTTCTCCCATGGTCGTTCTGTTTGCAGAGTGTTGGGCTCTATTTCCTCCACAAATCTGGAGCCTATTCTTTATTTATTTGGTTTACTTCAAGATTTATATGCTTTTTTTTGGTTTGGCTGTATCTTTAGTGCTGTAGTGATTCCAATTTTCACCATTTTTCATTTTTGGAATTTTTTGATTTTTTTGAGGGTATTTTCGTCCTTCCTCGATTTGCGTGCCAGACACTGTAGAGTGTGTCGGTTGTGTCCGAGAGTTGGTTGAGAGGTTTCATTGAGTTTAAGGCTCTTTGAAATGCAAAGGTGGTCATTTCGGCATTTTTTTCTTTTTTCGGGCCGGACAGTCCCAGGTGGGACCCGCTAGCGAAATTGTTGAGTACGGGGGTTTTGGTTGGGTCCAATTGCATCATGTTCATTTTAATTAATGTGTTGTGTGTGACTATTTTTAATAGTAGATGAATATATAAATTTGTGGAGGGAATTAAGGAGAAAAAAAAAAAGGAAAATAAAAGAAAAATGGAATGGGACCCACCCCCCACCTTAAAGGGGTTAGAGACCACCCCTTGGGCTCTCATATTTCTCTTTTCCCGTAAGTCTCTCTCTCTCACTCTCAAAATTCTATTTTTCTTTTTCTTTTGTTTCAAAAACTTCAAAGTTTGATCATTCTCTCATTACTTAGTATTTTTAAGTGCCGTTTACGGCAAATTGAAGCCCACGACAAGGTCTACAAGTTAATCGGAGCAATTTCATGTTTGGTGCACTTTAGGGAATTCGAGATCTAGGGCACAATTAGGGGTTTTTGCCTAATTTGAGGTAGGGGTGTTCTAATACATGATTTCCTATGCTTTTTGTGAGTTAATTCTTTGATTGCATGCTTAATTAATTTAAATTCTTGCAAATTATGTTTGGAAGGTGTGTGTGTATGTGAAAGTTGATATAATGTGAATGAGCATGCCTATGTGTAATGAAAATTGTATCTTGTATACTTATCTAGCTTGAATTCTTGCAAGTTACTTATGTGTTGTACATAGGAAATATGAGATTATGTGATAGTTGTCAATTTGTGTAATAGCATCCACTTGTGAAATGAAAATTTCTCTTTATAAAATTAATATGCTAGATTAATGTTGAATGAAAGCATGAGGTACTTGTTTTAGAAATTTAACTTGCAAGCATGTGCGATGTTCTACAGTGGGATTAACAATTAGAAGCATGAGGTATTCATGCATCCATTGGGAAATGAAAAAAGGAAAAATGCTTTAAAAACAAGTGAAAGGATTTTAGGAAAATTGTTTTTGAAAAGTGTTGAGAAAACCGGACGCTTAGGAGGCGCTTAGTGGTCAGTGTTGTTAGTGTAGTCTAGAAGGAATTAAGGTTGAGCTAACTAGGCTGGATGTAACGCCTTGGAGGTGCCTTGTGGTCTTGGATAGTTAGTCAACCCTCCATTCGTGACGCCTTGGAGGTGCCTTGGGTCGGATTACACTAACGGTTTGGAAGTTGAAACGGGAATATTTCGGAAAATGGGGAGTGACATGAGCATGACATTGCACTTCATTGGCATACATGGCATGATTGTGAGTTGGGTGGTATATGTGTTTATATCGGATGTTGTGGTTATGGTATACATTCCCGGTGTAATATGATCCCGTTCTCTTATTTCCTATTCTATACGTGGACTCATGGGGTCATAAGAAGTGTGTCATAAACACTTCCTACTGAGCTTATGCTCACCCCTATATTATTTAACATTTTTCAGGACACGGAAAAGAAGTAGCAGACGACAATCCACCCCGGCCTTAGCTTGGAGTAGGAAAATGTCTCTTACTGCTATCTTTTGTATTTGGGCTATATTTTGTATAAAGTTGATTCAAAATATGTTATTTTGCAACATGTGAAGTATTTAGTTTCATTTTGTACATGGCCATTGAGGAAATGTAATTATACTTATTTACACTAAACCATTTAGTGTATTTTATGTAACGTGTTGTAAATTATGTTAACATTGTTATTGTTAATGTATTAGATGTTAGAATGTATTTAAATGTGTACGTGAGCGTAGTGGCGTGGGTGATTGGTTATCAATGTTGGTGTATCTCGGACAGTGAAAAATTTCGAGTTTGAATAACCCAGAACCGGTCGATGTAAAATTCCCACACGTCGACCAGATGACATGAACCGGTCGACGTGAAATTCCCGCACGTTGACCAGATGACCTGAACCAGTCGACGTGAAATTTTCGCACGTTGACCGGTATATTGGCAGTAGCTATTTCACTATACATGATGTGAACCAGTCGACGTGTAGCCTCCCACACGTCGACCGGTATCTTGGCAGTGGGCAATGTCACTGTGCGTAACCCAAACTAGTTGACGTGTAATGCATACACGTCGACCAGTTCCTATTCCACGCATTTTTTTTGTTTAGTTTTCCTAATTATCATTTTATTTAAAGTTACGAGTATTTATTTTAGGACCCAATAAAATTTAATAATTATTTTTTTATCACAGAAAAGACTATATTGCCCCGAACTCTATCTTATTTATTAAGTGACATAAGTAAATGACCATTATGCCCTTTGAATCTCATACTATTAGATTTGTGACAAATGACAATTTTGTCCTTATTGGGTTTTAATATACAAATTTAACGTGAAAGGACCATATTACCCTTGGATAATTTTGAATCGGATAAAGACCGTTTAATGATTCGGATCCCGTGGATTTGGGTCGTTATAAGTGCCATCTTGACTTTAGGCCTTTGAGCCTTTCAATGACCAAAAAAAAAAATAAATTTTCCATTAGTTGGTAGGCAAAGCAATTTTAGAATAGACAATTCACAAGGTGAAAAACAGGCAAGGTCTGCCTACATATTTTTTTTTGTCATGTTCCATTAAATTTTTGAATGCATAAATGGGGTGGAGGGAGTTAAGGACAAGGGAGTCCTAATTTATTGCTCCTGCGGAGAGCAGAAAAATTAATTCACATTTTTTATATGATCACTTAAATTAAATTTAACGGTCATTTTTTAAATCCACCAATATCTTTAATTTTAACACAAAATCACCCTTATCTTATTTTTAGTTTCCACTTGTGTAGTAATAAAAGGTAATTACAAAAATAGAAATAGAAATCTTTGAAAGAAAGATAATACCCTTGTATTTATTACTAAAATTTATTTTTCTTTACATGTTTCTTTAAAAGAAAAATAATACCTATTTATTACGGTATCTTTTAATTTGTTTTCCTAACAAACATCTTATTGTCATGCTTACTATATATCTTAGTGTTCAACAGCATGTAGTCTTTTTTGCATGTGCACATACTAAAATTTAAATAAATATATTTGTCCAGTATGAAAATATGAAAAGTGTCCCTCTAAATTTTCTCCTTCCTAGTAGAATTCTAAATATATTTCTTATTTTTTTATCCTAAATTATTTCCTTAATCCTTATATTTTATATTTGGATATTAATTTTATTTCAAAAATATCTTAGAAGGTTACGTTACAGTTGGATTTCTCTTGGAGATTTATGTACTAGGAAGACCGTCTTTGTATTCAATATAGATGGAAAAACAACTCTTTATTATAGACTGAATCTCTTTGAAATATCCCATAGAAAAATCCATTGCATTTAAGCCATATCCCACCCAATTCCTTTCCCAACTCTAATTTCAAATCCCATAAGTATTTGGTTCGAAAGGCATAGAGAAATAATTGAAGGTTCCTTGTCAAGTAAGCCTTAGCACTAACACTGATTCTTATTCTGATTATGTTAGAATCAATCTCATATAATGCCTATTTTTTTTTTAGTTTTCAATTGAGCAAGAAATTATATACTCATTTTTAATTGTAACCTTATGATCTAATCCTTGACACTTAGTTAATTGACTTTTATTTTTTTTATTTTAAGAAACTTACATTTTATAACAAAAAATGACAGAATTAGACAATTTATTAAAGGAAACAATAATAAAATAATTTGGCTACTTTTTGCCAAATTCGCAAACAATCACTGAGACAAAGTAAAATTAATCTAAAATTAAAAGCCATCATTTATAGTTTTTTATTTTTATTTTTTTTATTATTATTTTTTCACACTTTATCAATTCTGTTGATAAATTATGAAAAAGCTTAGAATTTGCAATGATATTATACATATTTTGGCATGCTTTTACCTATCAACACTTTGAAAATTTAATTTGCCAAAAAAATAAAAAATAAAAATACACTGAGAACATTTAGACGGATATATAATAATATATTAATAGTTGTTTTGCAAGATCTTTCTAAAAAATTTATGAAGCCAATAGTAGTCTCCTAATTCTAAATTAGTTGCTGCACAAATTTAAAATATTTTATTAAGCTGAGTATAAAACATGGGTCAATCTTGAAATTTAAGTTTTGATTATAATCAATACTTCTCAAGTAATATCTATTTAATGACCATTTTATTTATCTCCTTTGATTAATTTTATTTTGTTTCTGTTGCTGTTTGCAAATTTGTTGAATAAACAATGGTAGTGATGGGGAAGTGTTTTTTTTATTGGACAGAAAACTCAGACAAAAAAGTAATCAAATTATTTTATTTTTGTTTTCTTTAATAAATTGTCTAATTCGTCATTTTTCTTTACCAATATTTAATGGTATGGAAAGAAAATATAAGTTTCTTAAAATCAAAAAAATAAAACTCAATTAACTAATTCCAACTCTGTCCCAGAGAAAAATATTAGGTAGCTGGAACGTGCGTAGTACTCCAATTAATAATGAATAGTTATTTTTATTATTAAAGAATTCATTAATCGGGTAGGTACTCCAATACCCAAATGGATACCATTCGAAAAAAAAAAAAAAAAAAGCCAAATGGATATCTTTGTTATAGTATAAATATGCTTACATAACCCAATTCATTTAGCAATGACATATCTATGATAATAAATTGATAAGAGGTCATACACAAACCTTACATTCAAAAAGGGAGGAAATAGGTTAAATAAGATACAAGTTATTATATTTTAATTCTAGGCTACTCTAATTAAATCAGGTATAGATGCTGAGAATTCACTTACATTCAAAAAGGGAGGAAATAGGTTACATAAGATACAAGTTATTATATTTTAATTCTAGGCTACTCTAATTAAATCAGGTATGGATGGTGAGAATTCACGTGTGAGATAGAATGTTTGAATTTCTTACCAATTTATTTAAAAAAAAAAAAAAAAATATTGATATATTGAGAGAGAGTGTAAAAGACGAACCACAACGAAGCTAAAACAACCAAATACAATCAAACTGAAACAACCCACTTTGGCTTTTTTCATTAATTCCTAAGTTAGAACTCTAACACTGATAATACCCGTTACAATGACCAGAAAAAGACAGCAGAGAGCTATCAAGAGACCTTCAATCCTTCCATGATCATCAAACCTTGGCAAAGTTTGAGGCAGAGAACATTCTTCCCCATTAAAGGTTACCTTAGTTGGAAACCCATCCCCACCAAGCACATTAATCCCAGGGGTTCTTCTCCTGCTGAATTCAATCACTGTTTGTTGTTTCCCCGGTATATGCGAATTTTTCCCTCCATTTTTCTTTCCAATTATGTAATTCAATCCTGATAGGCCATGCATGAATATAGTATTGTTGACACCTTCAAGAAATGTAGTATTAAATGAATACACATTTTCAATCCCTGAAGCAGCCTGGTCCATCTGCATTGTCACAAACCAGTCTGCAATGTCTGCGCTGTCCCAATTGAAAATGGTGATCCTCCCAAACCATCCATTGTCATACTCTGAACATATGTGCCAGTGAATACTCACTCCACAGTTGTCACCACAAGGAGTACTTTGCTTCAGCTTTGTCCGGTCTTCAAATGGTAATGCTAGCGCGTTCCATGGCACTGGGACCGCAGAAGCACTTGAATTGCATCGTTGGACATGAGCTGAAGGGCAACCACAGGCACATGTTGGGCATGGGATGGCCATGTTGCTGCTGAAGCTCGAGTAGGACAGGCAGCATCTTCTAGCTAATCCCTCGAGCCTTTTCTTCCAACACGAAATAGTCCAACTCACAACAGCCATTTGCGTGCCAATGCTCGATTCATGGAGTGTGTCTGGCTCAGTTAGTACTGGTTGTCCACATTGATAGTGCTGGTAAGTTGCTCCATTGAGTTGCCAATTCATTGGTGGGACAATGCGTGAACGGTTCAAGTCCGGTGGCATTTTGTATACTCGTAACTGGAAGGCTGCAATTGATAAGCCCAATTCTATTGAAGGTGGCAATATGGTTCCATTCCTGCAGCAAAAAGGGTTAGAGCCCTTGATGGGGTTGTTGGCCAAGTCCGGTGGGAGGTCAGCAATTTCTGGTGTTCTTTGGCAATTGACAACATCGGAGAAATCGAAGTCCTTGTAGAAGCTCCCCTGAGGCCCAAAAATGCAACCTCTCTGTTCCATTAAGGTGGGATAGGCTCCTCGGATTGAGTGGATGAACTCCTGCCTTGTCCAGTCCCACTTCAACCTCCAATTATCGATACGATGAGTAGGGTTGTGATTGGTGATTGTTACCTGTGCCACATAGTAGGTCTCAAATGCTTTGAGAACATTGTATATTATTGTCACATCTGCACCTTGACCTGAAGCAACCATTCACGGCCGATGACATAAGCAAACTAAAGAAGAAGAAGATTTCTATGAGCAACACTAGTAAGAAACAAGTTGAAATTGCATTTTTAGTTTACATGAATGTGAGAGATACACCACCTTTTAGTCCATTTTGGTCTTCAAAAGTGCCAATTTTAGCACTCTCGTGACCAGTTAGAGTCATTTGGAAGGCATTGTGGGATGTCAAGAAAACGATGACAAACCAACCCACAAAAAATACAAGTAGGAGCCTGATTAAGTCGTTATGCAAGGAACGATTGTCAGCCATGTCCAAAGATAAGAAGCTCTGCAACTAATATGAATGGTGCTATTTTATTTTAAGTAGGCCACAAGAAATATAAGTAGACTCAAACATATAAGCTGTGATGAATCATCACGAACATGTCAATGTTAAAATTAAGGTATGTGGCACGTCTATTAAATGTTTTCGGATTTATGTCTAGATTGAGTAATTCAAAAGCAATGTAAAGTTCAGTTACCAACAGCAACATAATAACCAAACAATTGACATTAGTTTGTTAATCTTACATGTAAAATTCAAGAAAATTAACCTTCTTCTTTTGTTGATTTATTAAATGACATGATTCCACCTATAACTTTAGAACATTAATAAACCAAGAAAATGAAAATACTCCAATTTTTTTGGATGTAAGCAGCAGTAATTTTGATCAAAAAAATTAGTCCGCGGGACAATCACGCACCCATGACCATTGAGAAGAATTGATCTCTTAGAAATCGATCCCGTGCACATATGTCCAACCCTATGGCACCCAAACATTGATCAATTGGAAAAATAAATTGTAAACCTAACACACAATTCACCTAACTTGAACCACCACGTTCAGGTTGACATCAAAGCTGGCAGAAAAAGACTGTTCAAACTTGGATGCTGGTTAATTAATGTAGATAGAGGACTAAAGAAAATTAGTAGCCCTTTTTAATGTAAACAAATTTTTATAGAATTCTGAGATTGAAGTATCCATGCTGGTGAGAGTATACATATAGGGTCAAGGGAGAAAAAGATGAATTTGCAGTTTAGGTGGCTGATATTGTCACATTAGGCACAGTAAGCATCCTTGAAACTCAACCATTACCAATATGTAAGATTTTACCATGCATTGCTTAATTTTAATGTCACATAATTAATAGACAAAATCATTCATTTGGATTGGTCACTTTGTCAAACTAATCTTAATGGTGCGGTGAAAAAGAGTCAAATTAATGTGAGAGAGAGTGTAAAATTTTACCTATATAAATTAAGATATATAATAACGACAATAGTTGGTAATGACTGAAATGGAATTCGAAATTGATGGCCCAAAATTCAATTAATAGAACTATAATCAAGCAGTTAACCAAAATATGCTGTGTCTTAGTGAAGACTAGGATTGAGTACAGCTCCAATGAAAAGCAGAGTCCCAGATATCTCTTCTCTTATAACGAACATGAAAGGATGGTCAGCCACAAAACTTGGTTTTGAAGGAGGAAACCTTGCACATCCAACAAACCCAAATGTAGTGGCAGCTGCTGCGACTGTCCCTTCCTCGTTCGCTTCTACAGATGACTTGTGAAGAACACCCGAGACAAATAGTTCTTCGCTATAGACAGAATCTGACATCCCTTTGAACTCTCCAAGACGCTGAAAAGGCTTAGTCAAACCCAATTCTTTAAAGTAGTTTGAAGCTTCTAACCCATATGAGAATTTAAATTTGGGAATCCAAAATTCATCAAGTTTAACTTCCTTTAGATGAGAGGACAGTTGATGTAACATTATTCCATCTGCGACCTCAACTGTTTCTATTAAATTTTGCAATCCATTTCTCTCACTGGGGAGAAAGATGTACATTGAGAATTGGCTTGAGCCTTCGCCCTTTTGATATGGCATCTTCACAAGTTTGACACCATCGAAGGATCCATAGAAATGGTACTCGGAATAACTTGTGGTCATTAAAGGGACTGAAACTGTCTCTCCACTGAGGAGATGAAAATCTCCGTCTTCTGTCATGGATGCATCAAACTTAGAATTCCAAGCTCCTTTGAAGTAGAGCGCGTTCGCAAGGACAATCATTGTATCTTGATCAAGAGAGTGTTCTGGGATTATGTTCTTGATGAGGCCTTTTGTTGTCTTCTCAACCCATGAGTTCACTTCCTCTGTTGCTATAATATTTTGAAGTTCAAATAAATATTTTACTTCAGTAAGTATGCTTGTATTAACCAAAAAAACAAAGAAGAAAGGTAATAACTAATTATTATCATATTGCTAATTTGTAAAGACCAGCATCACAATTTTAATAAAATAGGGCAAATTAGTTATTCAATCATAGCAATGATATTCAAATGAATGCATTTCACTAATTTATTTTTACCCCAAAAAAAGTTTGTTCTTTGGAGTTTGAATAGAAAATTCAAATTCACTGTGCAATAGAAGAATCGTCAATGTTACATAGAAGTTGTTCAATCAAGCATAATGTATTTTACCTAAACAAATTTGATATACACAGCAAAACCTTGAAAGTTACTGAATGGCCAAACAATATATATATATACCTATGCACAATGGTTACAGAATGTATGCTTGCATAGTTGCATGAATATATATATTTACCTTGTGTAGAAAATCAACAACTTTAATATCTGCATTAAAGTGAACTCCTTTAACAATGTGTTGATAAGTAGGTTTGAGAGAAAAACGTTTATCCAACCAAGCCCCCATTAGCAAAAGATAAAATTGGTCCAGATCCAGATCCGCCGTCAACTGAAGATGATTTTACGACGTTGATGAATGTGGATGACTTTGAAATCAGATGGTCCACGCTTTTTGCCTCCATACAGCCCAGAAATTGGTCTAACGTACCGCCAGTTGACCCGGCCGCCGCCAGGTTCAGCAGAGCATTGAGTGACAATGGAGACACCACACTATTCTTCTTCATGCCATAAGTACCACTAGCTTCTTTGAGCAGGATCTGCTTTGCTACCTTCGAACACAAGTTCATCTTCTGTATATGTCTACTAGGGTTTTCAGTTTTGGTTTGATAGGGTTTAGGGGTTTATGTTATACCATATGATAATATAGTGTTTACTCCTAGGGTTTATGTATAGGGTATAGTGCCGTGCTTATGTTATACCATATGATAATACATAGTTTACTCCTAGGATTTATATATAGGGTATAAGGTCGGGTTTTTGGTATACCATATGATAATACAGTGTTAATTAATTATTTAAAGATTTAATAAAAAGAGTTTTCCAAACAAAGATATATACCGGTAAGATTGGATTCAAGTTATTTAAGTTATATTGGGGTTTGGATTCCATAATTACAAGTTTAGCTATTTTTTTCTCTACTTCCTATATTAAGTTCTTCCCTATATTCAAAAATTAAATTTAAAACACACAAAACAGCCAAAATAACTGATAAATAAGGAGGAGCCACCTAATTCAAGATAAAATCACAAATTAAAATTAAAGTAGTATAGCATTTTTCCACATAAAATAGTGGAATGCATCCGAACTATTTAACATTATTCTAAAAATTAATATGATAATGGTCTTTGCATTTATTTATTATTATTATTATTGTTTTCTGAAAAAGAAAAACAATATATAAACATTAAAATAGTTTTAAATTTCTAATTACTGCCTACAATTGAATACTAAGATTTATTAGAAGTAAAATTATTCTTACGCCCATTTGTTGCAGTGAATTACTAGACTTATTTATTTTAATTAGTTCATTTATATAGTAAATAAGGAAATGAGACCTCCACTTACTTGTATAGTGTAAAAATAACTAATTAAAAACTTTAAATTAGATAATTCACAACAATAAATCGTACCGTTGTAGTTACAGGTATCTGTAGACCATAACTAACAACACATTTCCATACTACACTGTTAGTCTGTTACACTTGAACCCACTCGCATGGACGATTTGTCAAACTCTATTAGCTTTTACATTTACAATGGGTAAAAAGGTTCTAAATATTAAAATGGGATAGACTCAGCAAAAGGAAGATCAAGTCCATAAAGAGTAGCCCAAAACAAAGCCCAAACCTTTATACATAAACAAACCAGCAGCTTTTATTAGTTCTAATTGGTGTTTACAGTTGAATACTACCGGTATTAATTAGTCCTAATTTTATGTAAGCGTAGATTTTGGGGGTCTTTATATCAGTGGGTGTGTAATGTGTAAATATATATAGAAAGAGAGAGAAATTGTGTGAGACGGACACACATCTGAACCTGAAAGGGAAAGAGTGGAGAGAGAGAGCGAGAAAATGAAAGAAACCGAGAAGGTGGAGCTGTTTGTGAAGGCAATGTACACTCTGAATTGGAATGTGGTGTTGAATGAATCGATTCCAAAGGGGGTTGTTGAGCTTCGAATACACTCCGAGGATGAAGAAGATTTGAAGAAGATGAACAACATCACAGATTCCATGATGATTAAGGTCCAGTCTCGGATGCTATCCGAGCTCCACACCCGTTTCTACGGAAAGGATGCCACCGATCGATTGTTTCGCACTATGATGATTCGGACCTCCAGACTGATGGCGAAAGATATCAGCACCCAATTGGTTGGAAAGGAAACCACCGGAGGCAGCATTGTCAGATGGATTCGTAGGTTCTTCTCCTAGTTTTACCATCTCTCTCTCTCTCTCTCTCTCTCTCTCTCTCTATATATATATATATATATATATATATATATATTTGGGTTTTATGTTCTTCAATAATAGAGAAGGAACATGTAGAGTTGGTTTGAATACTTTTGTCTATATTAGGGTTTATGATGGTGGTACTTATTAACTCTCTTCATCATTTCGGCATATATATAGCATCATCTATTATGTGATCTCTGCTTTTGATTGATTGGTATTGTGGTTTTAATTTTCCTTTTGTGTGTTGGTTTTTGTGTTAATGAAGTTTGGGCAAAGAAAGGTTTATGGCGGTAGTTGCATGATAATTGTTTGATAAAATGCCCATTAGGGGATCTCTCTGCAGGTGTCAGGTGGCGTTTACCATCACTATGGTAGAATTATATTTACCTTTTAATTTGGGGTATTTTTATACTTCTTTGAACTTGAATTTTTCTTGTGTACCGATAACCACAACCCTGCCTTGTCTTGATGCTATATTTGTTTCCCTAACCCTGATTAGGGTTTTAGTTGACATGTGTTGCCCAGTAATTTTCTATTTGTTTGCTTGCTAGGCTTTTAGTTGTATTGATCAGAATTCTAAGATGAATATAATCTGATGGCTTATGATCCCCTGTTGAACAAAAAAAAGTCCTTGTTGCCTATCCTAATGGTTCATATATTTAGGATCTGACATCTCCTGTTCTTTTCTTTTTCAGTTTTGATTTTTATCTATCTTGGATCATTAGCAATTCAAATTCTATAGATGTGAAGGAATGTTATTAGTGAGATATGATATTTTGTGTGTCTACCATTTCTTTTGCTTTGGTCCATCTTCACGATATCTGTAAATCTACAGGTATTAGTGAATCCTAGAAGTCCATGTAATGGCTATCTCTGGGCCATAACTATCAAGTATCAACACATTTCCATACGGTCCATACTGCACTTTTACACTTGAACCCACTCGCAAGGGCGATTTGTCAAACTCTATCAGCTCTCTTCATCCTCTATTTGGCTTCCACATAACTAACTTCATACCATATAGAAGAAGATGGAATTATTTCTAAATCTATGAAGAGTCAATTTAGAGGCCTCACCATCCTCCCGCATGAATGCAGAGATGCTCAAAAGCTTTCTTGAGGTCTGGTATGTAGACAATGGATCTTCCTGAAATCTTTTTCTTTGGCTGATGACAGAGTGTACGTGAATTGCCCCAAAAATGGCAAGACTAAAGGTCCCAATGAATCCATATTTGCCTAGAGCGTTTCCTCAGCGACATTCACTATACATTTTGGTATATATATTCCACTGTTGTTTTCCAAATCCACATCCTGAAAGAGAGGGCATAGGATTGATTGTCTCGTGCTTTGTTCACAGGCGGTCTTGTAGCTCATACTTTGTCGTTTTCTTGTCTTGATCTCTGTTGAGACATGAATATTGCAGCACCATTCGGTAAAAGAGAGAATTGCTTAGCAACATGGGATGGTTCTTGTGAGTGCCAATTTTCACTTAGGATCTCAGTGTTCACAAACAGGGCAGGGAGTTCTGTGAACTCTTTGCAGGTGTTTTGCTACATCCTCTGATACACTTCCCGCACTACATCCCATACCAGAACGGTTAAAACTCTTGATATTGGTCCGCATTCTAAACTTGTTAATTACCATTTCGCGTAGAGGAGAGAGAGGGGTGGGGTGGTGGGTGGGGGGAAAATTTGCTGCTTCAATATGTCTATTTCCTGAGGATGAATGTTCTGCTATATCTAATCCATAATCACTGAGAAGCTTACTGTTGCAGCCTCTCCAATCTTGAATGTGTGATTTTTTTTGTGGTTAGTCTGCGAAGAGTTGTGATAGGTCAGGGGGTCGGACAAATCCTACTAACGCAATTAGGCCATTTCTAATTGACAAGGAGTTGTGATAGGTTTGAGGGTCGAACTGGGGGATGACATCGCATAAAACAGTGGGCTTTTGGAATACTTAAAATCGTTCAATTGATAATTATACTCCTTCCCTCCATTGCTGTTATATACATATATATACCTCTTTGTTCCTTCTCTTTCTTTCTCTATTTCTCTTGGTAAATACAAATATACATATATTTCTCTTTGTAAATACAAATACACATATATCTCTCTTTGTAAATACAAATATAATATGATAATTTACAGTCACCTCCCATCTAGGTAAACAACTGGCAAACAGTAAATCGTAAAATTTGGAATGTAGCCTCAAATTTAATATACATACTCGTAATCTCTAAAAATATAAATAATGACCAACCATCCTCGGCTCCATGGAATCTTTAAAAGAATTGGAATTTTTTTTTGGGAAACTTCATTTAATCTTGATATTACTACCCTCTTCAATCTGAGTGCTAGGGTGACAAGGCTCTCCATGGACAATTCTGCATCAAAAATTGTTTCATTTGGGATGCCCGAATTACAAGATTTCTGACTTGATAAAATATACCATGTGTCTCGTGCACTGGGTACATCGTACCCGTTCATGTGGGCGCGCGTACAACACAAACGGTTACGATGTGCCCGGCACATTGTATATTTTCTGCTGTGACTTGTGTTGTATAAAATGAACTTCTCTAAGTTCCTCACTATAAGAGTTTCTTCATTCTTTAACAAAACCAATGCCAATGGCATAGCTTAGAAATGGAAATTTCATATGATCTTTAGTCTAAGATTTTGCTCTACTCTGTATTCCTTCATTACCCAAAGGTGTTTTTACACAAAGGCATCCTCCAAATACCCCTATTAGGCACACGTCATGAACATTGGTGAAGATAATTGAACTACTAAAGTTTTTATATTAATTGTAAATGTTGCTAGTCTTGTTGAATGAATAGAATTGTGCACGAAATAGTCATACTTTGCATTCAGAATTTTTTTTTTTTTACAATTTGTTCGGATTTTTTTTGTTAATTTTTATCTCGATGAAGAACTTCCACAATACTTTCGTATGATCTTTAGTTCAAGATTTTGCTCTACTCTGTATTCCTTCATTACCCAAAGGAGTTTTTACACAAAGGCATCCTCCAAATACCCTTATTAGGCACACGTCATGAACATTGGTGAAGATAATTGAACTACTAAAGTTTTTATATTAATTGTAATTGTTGCTAGTCTTGTTGAATGACTAGAATTGTGCACGAAATAGCAAACGTTGTATTCAGAATTTTTTTTTACAATTTGTTAGGATTTTTATTTTTAATTTTTATCTCGATGAAGAACTTCCACAATACTTTTTGGAGGGATTACTATTCCTTAAAAAGAAGAGGAGATATCACTAAGTGCCCTAATTTATGAAATTTATCTATACAATAGTTTTCAGAAAATTGAACCAAGCAGG